CAGGAAATTGAAGTTCAAAGTGTCTTTTATAGAACAGAATTGAGTTAGCCGCCTTTCAGAGGGTGCCTGAGAGGATTCAATAACTAAAGTAAAAGCATGTTATCAATTGCAAAGTGTTGTATACATGTGAATTCTCATTATTCTTCTAATCAATCTTAGTCACTTTAAAAATCAAAAGAACTTATCTCTTACCCAGGATGGATTACCATTGTCTCTTGGAGGGATGGTCCTTTACAGTTTAGTATTGAGTTCAGGTATCCCCTGCTTTTTGAAAGTTCACTTTAAGTCACTTCACTTTTACAAAAGATCTATATCAGTACCTGATTTTGCTAACAAAAGAAGTCAGAAGAGGAGTTTTGCTCTTATTTAAAAAAAGGCAAAAAGTGAAAACAGTGTTTAGCATTTGTTTTGCAGCAGCTGTCACAGAGGCAGTGTGCACCCTAAGCAGCTGGAATGGTCCCTCCTAGTTCCTTCCCCTGGGAAGTCAGCATCTTAGCATCAAGCCCTCTTAGTTTTGAACTGTGTCTTTAAGCATCTGTATTTTATCTTCATTTATTTTGTGTATCTATTAACAAAATGTGGTATTGGGTATCAGAAAAACCTAAGAGAGCTTGTAAGGGTGTTACACTTAATGTAAAACTGGAGATAATACAATTATTTTATGTCTTATGTGTTATCTATATATATAAAAGCCTAAGCCACCAAATAACCGAACTACCAGTCAACTGGTCACTATGATGTACACTGACCACCAGGGGACAGATGCTCAATGCAGGAACTGCCCCCTGGTGGTCAGTGCACTCCCACAGCAGGAGTGCTGCTCAGTTGACCAACAGGCACCAGACACTGAGCTCACAGCGGGCATGTGCAGCTTTGGGTGTAAGCCTCTCCCGCCTCTGTGGCAGCACTACTGAGCAGCAGCAGCAGAAGCCGCAGGGCCAGGATGCATGGAGCATCGCCTGGTTCCTCCCTGGCCGCATGCCACTTTACACACTACTACATCCCTTGGGGGATGTCAGATTACCAGTTTCAGGTGGGGATTGGGCCAAAACCGGCAGTCTGACATCCCCCAAGGGGTCCCAGATTACAAGAGGACACAGGCCGGACTGAGGGACCCCACCAGTGCACAAATATGTGCACCAATCCTCTAGTTTAGTATAATTTTGTAGTTTATTTTGGAGGTCTTGGAATGTTAAAAAAGTTTTCCATATAAATGAATGATAATTGCTTCTTCACTTTATGCCATTTCCACTTCCCACAGATTTCATGGAAATGCTCTACTTTCAGATAGCAGGGCATGTCTCTGTATTCAGAGCTGTTCACAGAATACCTTTTCATTCTTAGCAAGCTACTGTTTTCTCTTTCACAACAGAGTTTGGGGGGATAGTGTTTTCATTCTGTGGTATACATATTAATCAGGCACTCCCAGTTTCTTGTAATTGTGAATCCTCAAGTAAAGCAATAGAAAATTCCCAAGCTTCAGATTTACCATCTGGAAATTCAAGGTAACACTCTACATGGTTGTGGTGAGGGGGCAATGAGATGAGGTTATCTGCAAGAGGCCAGGAACTGGGAAGCATTGTACAAATCCTCTTAGGGAACAGGCAAGGGCTCTCCTTCCAATTCCTGCTTTTACAGGATGTGCTTGTTTGTTTGTGTCTCCCAATTTTTGTCTTACTGGCCCCAGACAGGTAAAGGTTCATTTGCATGCACATATTTTATTGACTATTAATTGATTTTTAGTTTTTGCTTACACAATGGTTTCTTTAGAAACAGTGTTTGGATTAGGACATTTCTCCTGAAAGGGGAACAGAGTTTAAAAGATAAGGAACTTTAACTTCTCCCAACCCAGGTTTGGATAGTTGTTGAAGTTCTCAGTGTATGATATAGAGCCTGTGTTTAGAATTTTAAAAACTTCTTTAAAAGAATTGCATGGCCTTCTAACATAAATTATATCAACATTTATATGTTCCCAATTTATTAATATACACTGAGAGGCCAGATTATTATGATTTCTGAATGCAGAAAACTGAAGAGCCCAAGTCATACCAAAGTGAGCCCACAGGCAACCATTTTGAAATTTCTAAATTATAACTACTATCACTTTCTCTAGAAGACAGAGTGAGTGAGTGGTGGGTATTCCTGGCATCAGAGGAGGTTTCAGTGTAAGAGCTCAGAGTTTTTGTGTGAAGAGCCTGTACATTTGAGATATATACTGAGTGACCAGATTATTATGTATTATGATCTCTGAACACATAATAATCTGGCCACTCAGTATTAATATTAATATATTTTTATAAAATTAGAGGCCTGGTGCATGAATTCATGCATGGGTGGGGTCTGGTCAGCCTGGCCAGGGTGAGGGGACATGGGCGGTTGGCCAGCCTGCTGGTCAAACTTCTTGTCCAGGGGACAATTTGCATATTAGTCTTTTATTATATAGGATATACACTGAGCCAAACCAGTTTCGGCATTAGGAATATTCTTGAGGAACAAATCTCCCTCCATGTTTTCTCATTGCCACCTCACTCCACCATCCTACCCCTGAAGAGAAGAGAGAGCTTAATATGGCAGCAAGGGTAAAGAAAGCCATTAAAGTTGATAAAGACTTTAAACTGAAAATTGAGGGAAGGGGAAAATATCCAGCCAAAAGTTGTAAAAATGAGCTATTTCATTGGATACTATATCTGATAGAATAAGAACAGTAGGAGAATCATTTAGTAATTAACAGAGTAGAATAACTCAGGGAAAAGACAGGAATAATGGATGTGGCTCCAGTTATACAAAGTTGGAGCAGTTAAAATTTTGAACTTAAGTGTTTAACAGAAAGGGATATTTATGACTGCCTAGATTTTATAAAGACTTAGTATAGAATAATAAATGATGTTGAGGTGAGAAAACCAAATATCATCATTTAGAGTATATACCATAGGCTACCTGACCAGAGAAAGGAGAATGATGTAATCACAATGTTTAGACAAGACTTTTCTCTTTGGGGACTTAGTTTCAACAATTTAAATGTAATTTCTCACCACCTTGCCATTGTTTCCCTTCTCACAAGATCTTATTGTTCTGTGTCTTGATTCCTTGGTGTCATCCTAACTAATAAAGAGGGAATATGCAAATTGATCATCACACCATCACAAAAATATGGTGGCACCCACAGCAAAGGCAAGGTTTCCATAACATAAGATGGCTGCACCCACAGTGGAGGCCGAGTTCCTGTAACAAGCCTTAATGAGCAATCAGCAGGGACCTGGGGCTACATGGTGCTAGGCTGGGGCAGGGAACCTGAGGCTGCACCCCCCCACCCAGTGAGGCTTCATGGGGGACCTGAGGCTGTGCCCCCCTACCCCTCCCAATGGGACTTGACAAGGGTGGGGCTGACCAGGTCTGGATCTTGCCCAATGGGGGTGGGGCTGACAGGGTCTGGGTCTTCCCAATTTTTAGACACTGCGGATGGGTGGGGACTTGACTCTGGGTCCTGTGGCATGCCCCAGATTCTGACAGGAGGAAGATTTTCATATACATTTTACTAATTTTCTTTTATCTCTAACACTTCTATTATAGAGAAAGGATAAATAGCAATATTAAAATATTTCCTCTAATTAATCCCCTTTTAATGTACATGAATTTTGTGCACTGGGCCACCAACACTTTTATAAGCATCTCAAAAATGGTACAATATCTTGAAACTCTCATAAGTTCTCAAGAGGATTCAGGTAAACACAGATTGCTCATGAACTGACTTTTCAATTGACATACAGAGGTTCTGTCCATTAGTACATACTACCCTATTGGTTATAGAATTGAACATAAAGTGTAATAGATGTATGTATATGTGGGAAAAGAGGAGAAGCAAAGGATTGTTTAGATTGGGGTCCCAAACTCAAATGCCTGCTGGAGTCATGTGCCCCATCTGAAAGGCACAGCTGCTATTCCATTCCAACAAATTGTTGCCACTTGAGAACATAGCTCCAAGGTTACCGAACATTCTGAATATTCTAAAGAATTAGGAAACTTAAATTTTAATGTGAAATGCTCTACCTTTTAAATAGTATCAACTAATTTAAAACTTTGAAAAATATTAGGTGGGCCAAACAAAATAATTCCACAAGCACTTAATAGTGATTCTAATTTTAGTGATAGATGGAATTCATGACACAGCCTTGATTTAGTTACTTAAACTAAGTCTGGTCCTTCATCCATTCAGCATAGGTTTGGTTCCAGCTTGGTTGGTGTGAGTACTTTTCCCAAATAGCAGTTTTGCGTGTTGGTTTGTATCTATAAATATAACTGAAAACTTGCACAATGATAAAAGTGGTAAGTAGATTCTATGTTTGGTTCGAATCAGTCTATTCAACAAGTAACTGAGAAATCAGTGGTCAGACTCTAAATTATGTAAAGAAAGTAATCAGAAGGCAGTAACTTTTTTTTTTTTTCTCTCATCAGATCATGAATCCTTTGAAAGCTATGGTAAAGACTTTGGATTTGGTTTTTAAAATATTGGGAAGCTATTGGAAGTTTGTGAGCAGGGAAAGGATATGATCTAACATAATATTCTAAAAGGAACACTCTAAAAGAGTTGATAGGAAGGCCCTGTCTGGAGCTACAACCTGTAGTAGAAAGAAAGTCTGCCTTTACTTAATGCAATATATTTCCCTACCACTTTTTTTCTCAGGCATGTTGTTCTCATAATCTTGTGTTAATGTCTCTTCTCCACATCTCCTACCACCAATGGAGATGTACTCCATGGATCTTTTGCACTATCCTAAGAAACTTATAGCCTATATCATACTGAATGTGTTATCCAAAGGTAACCAATGCATTTTCTGATTTAATTAACTTCCTTGAGTTCTCTCCTGGCCCTCAGGCCATTTCTCAGATGTATAAAAGATATGGAGCCTTCCAATTATCTGATCTTCTCAACTTAGAGGACAAGTGATATAGTCTTGCAAATTGATCTAATTACTCAACAACTCTGTGCTTCTATCTTTCAGAAAATACTGAAGGAAGGACCTCTGCTGAAGAGCTGTAACTCCTTCAAGAGATGGAAGCTCAGATATTTTCTGGTTCGAGGACAAAGGCTCTGCTTTGCACACCATCCTGCGGTAAGAGAATACATAGCATACGTGTGTGTGTGTGTGTGTGTGTGTGTATGTGTGTGTGTGTGTATTAATATGTATAAAATCTTGTCCATTGGGTTAGTGCGTGGGTGCCAGAAAATGTGTTATGAGGACACTTGGCAAACATTGAGGCAGAAGTTAGTCTTCCTTTAACTTAGACTTTTGGGGCAAATGGGGGGCACTTTTCTCTCCCCTCCCCTTCCCATTTCCCTTCCCTTTTATAAGTTCCTCAGTTAGCTCTTCTGCACCCTGAACCAACTACATAATTTGTGTAGCCCAATATAAAATAAAAATATGGGCCTCTTATTTAAAATGTAAAGAGAAATGCCAATAAAGATACAAAAATATAAAGCAATGACTTGTCGGAGCATCTTTTATTTGTCAGATGTCATTGTAAGTAAATAATAAAAATTTAAATATTCAGCAATTTTGCCATCTGTTTGTATATTGTACAAAGCCAGTTTTAAAAGCAAACAGGAAAGTATTTAACTCATGAAGAACAATCAAAATTATATAGTTTGCATATGGTGGTTCATACACACACATGTATTTTGTTCTTACCAGTACACAAAACTACACAAAAGCAACTCAACTGTTTTTATTTCACATCTTGACACTTATACATTCCACCAACACTTTCTAAAAAGAAAATGAATTATGGCTTTCCCTATCTTTTCCTTTCCTTCAATATTATAATATAACTTTCAACATAAATGATTGGCTAATTCAGGGAAGTAACATATTCAACAAAGAATATAAGAGGGTTACTTGGTTGTTCGTGTTTCTTAGAACACCACTGCTATGTTTGAAATGAGTTCTAGTTCCAACCAAATAAGTGGTCTCTTAGGGCTGTCAGATCTCCTACTCAGTCATAGCTAGTAATATATTTATTTTATACTTGTTTTGAATCTCACTGAATTCTCACACATCTTGAGTCCACTGAAAGTCTATGATCATGGGTATCCTGAATTCAAATAAGTGACAAGATATGGGGTGAACATGCATATTGTGCATATCTCCTCTGCTCATGTTCATGACCCATTGTCCCACTGGATTTCACTTATAAAACTCAAGTTAAATGATAAACATATTAAGAATTTTAAGACTGCAACAGCAGAGCATTAAACCAAGGGTGAGGCCCTTCTGAACATGAGGTCTTTTATGACTGCACAGGTTGCATACCATTGGAGTCAGGCCCTCTGTATACATACTACTGATTTCCTGCTGCTGGCTAGATATTACCTACTATAGCCAGTGTATAACAAGACGCAGCTTTAAAACTAGAAGGGACTAACAACAAAGGCTGCTGGCTGATAAAATTGGTGCTACTCCTATCTGCTCCACTAGGCTCCTAGCTAGACCTCATCAAATTATTTGCTCCAACATAAACCTTTAGTTTTGAATAATTCTGAATTACCCAGGCCTTCCTATAAATCCACATCAAAGTTTTGAGAAGTGTTGTGTTTTGGTTTAATATGGTTTATTTCTTATTTGTCACATGTTTTATCAACAAAAAGAATGATGCTAAATAAATCCCAGCACTCACGCCAGAGCAATGATCACATCATGACTGCCAAAAATGCCTATTTGTGTGTGTGTGAGAGTGTGTGTGTGTGTGTGTGTGTTTACTTTTTAGTGTATCTTTGCCTCATTAACCATATGGTTCTTTTTTCCTTTTCCCTCTTATCTTTCCAGTTTGCACACTTTGAAACTGTTGATCTGTCTCATGTTGCTTTGGCAGAAACTAGCTGTAGAAACCTTTGCCACAGTTTTTGTGTAAGTAAGGCTGAGAATGACTAAATGGCCCAGGGTGGGAGCTAGCTGGGAAGAAAGTTTGCCACACCTACATGTTGCCTTTTTGGAGTTCGGTCTCCCAAGTCTTTTTTGATCCAAATGTATATAGAAATCCACTTAAAGTAGCAAGTGCTAAACAAGTGCTAAAGCTCATTCATGTAAACACTTTGACCATTCCATCATAGGAGGAAAAAAGTGATGGCCCTATTCCCTATTACTAATCTGATAAAACTGAGATGATTTGGGAATAGGGGAGTGACTATTACAAAAATCAATCCTCCTAATGAAGATGATTTAGAGTATCACTGGGAGGCTTTCAAGAGACTGCTAATATGTTACAGAAAATATCAGGATAATCAAGCTATATGACATACTCTCCTTTGATGAAGAAGATAAGAGCCTAAATCCAAAGCGAAAACTACCCTATGCTCAGATTGCTAATGAGAATACCTCAAAAAAAAAAAAAAAAGCAGAGGATTTTCTGCATTTCAAGAATTTGGCACTGCTGAAATTTCATAAGGCTTTGGGCACTGAAGTGAGTTCAGATCAGAAAGCTCACTGAAAAATAGCAAGTCCATTGATTCAGGTATTCTCCTACCCATCTCCTCCCTGAACTGTCTTTTCCCAGCCTCTGTGTTGGATCATGGAGACTGGGTTTCCTCTTCAGGAAGATGGAAGGTTATACTTAGACTAAAAAGCTACAGGCCCAATATCCTGCTTCATTGGCTGGTCTGCATTCTATTCACTTTTGAAAGGAGAGTAGGGTCTAGATATAAGAGAGACCCTACTCTCATTTCTCTCATTATATCTCATTTACCCAGGGTAAAGGTAATGATTTTATTTACCTATCCCCAAAAGCTTAACCTTTGGCTGGTGAGCATATAGGCTAATGTTTTTGGTCTCCACTCTACAAAGAAATCCCAAGGGCTAGGTTGCCTCTTAGCCTAATTGAAATACAGAGACAATGTCAATCAGCCCCATACAAAAATGGGTTTTGACCAAAAGAGTGGTTATTATCACAATTCCCACTAGTTCTTATTCCCATTTATCACAGAAGGAAAAATAAAGTGCTAGTTCTAAAATGTTTGGTAGTAATGGCAAGTATGGCCATTGAAGCAATGACTGATGCTATTGTTATCCATGTTCCCTTTTTCCCTCTGGGAAAAGACCAATTTGTGGCCATACTCTACCTCTGTTAGACCCTCAGCATGGATTTTTCATTCTCGCCTTGATTCTTGCAATAAGCAGGATTAAGGAATACAATGGTAAAGTTCTCTTCAGGTTGTCCCTGACTATAAGAAAAAAAAATAAACTAGATTTTTAGATTTCTCACTCCATTCTTGCTCTCTTCCCAAACAGAGAGGCACACCTTTATGAACCATATACCCTTAAACCATCTTTTTAATTTTGATATTGATTTCAGAGAGGAAGGAAGAGGGAGAGAGATGGAACATCAATGTTGAGAGAAATTCATTGATTGGCTGCCTCCTACATATCCCCTACTGGGGAGCCAGCCCACAACCTGGGCATGTGCCCTTGACTGCAATGGAACCTGGAACCCTTCAGTCCACAGGCCTACACTCTACCCACTGAGCCAAACCAGCTAAGGCCCATTCTACCATTTTTAAGTAGACAAAGCAGTAATGAGTAGGATGTTCAAACAACCTCATTTGGGGTTTGAAAGCATGTGCTCCAGAGCCAAAGAATCTGGATTTCAATTCTCACTTAGCTTTTTACCTATTAGGGGGCCCTGGACAAGTCATTTAATTCCCTTAGCATTGGTTTTCCTGACTATGAAGTGGGGAAAATCCCTATATCATGGGGTTTTAATGAAGATTGAAATAACTAATATACATACATGGCAATAGAACAATATAAGAACATAGTAAATGTCATTAAAGTGTTATTTGTTACTATTATCATTACTATTATTTTGGGTGGGGAAATAGGGAGCTGCAAGTGGTTCTGGGAACACCTGACTTGTGTTTAAAAGGTCACTTGGGTCATGCTTGGTAGACCTGTCTAGGTCTTTAAGAATTCAGAGGCTCTGTTTGGGCACAAATTTGTGGAGTGTGAACCAGCTAATAATGTGACTTTTTGTTTAGGTTATCACACCACAACGAAAACTTATCCTGGCTGCGCCCAACCGGAAAGACATGGAAGAATGGATTAATGTCATAAAAACTGTTCAACAGGGAGAAATTCGTAAGGTAAGGAAATAGTCGAGAATCCACACAACACTGAAGTATAAACTCATAATTGACTGAGTTAAACCATCTTTTAAACAGGGAAATATCAAGATGGAAGCAGAGACCATCTGGTCAGGAATTATAGACGAGCATCATTAGGAAACCTATTCAAAACTACTTATAAATAGGAGTGATTCACTTGGACTCAGACCTTGAAAAGTATTTGGTTTAGATACCTCTGAACACATCTATTTGATATGTAGATATCACTATATGTCAGTGGATAAGGCACTTAAGATGTATGTGAGAATCTAATTTAGATGTTCTTATATTAGAAATCAGTAGTCTTGACTTGGGTCTGCTAAGTAACTACAGTAACAGCTTAAGGAAACAGACTCAAAAAGGAAAAGTAGACCAAAATGAAGTAACTACTAAGTGGAAAAGCTTATATCATTAACCACTACATAATTCTGCCTTTATGTTTATTATATACCAGAAAAGAAATGTAGAGGGAAGAGCAAGGAGTGGTCCTACTCAAATCTTAGCAGGGTTCCTTTTCTCTGTAGCAATACCAAACCCCACTGCTCCCTGCCATAAATGGTCACCATTCAAACTCTGGGCTATGCCTTCAGCCCACTATTCTTCAGACCTACCACATTTAGAAGTTACATAAGTTTTAAAGGGGGAGGGATTTTTGTCATTTGTTTACTTAGAACAGTGTCTGGCACATACAGAAGCTCAACAAATATTTGCTGAATGAATAAATGAGGGTAATCTATTATGAAGCTCTTGGAGATAAATGGAAAAACAAATATACCTTTTAAAAAATCATGATGTCTTAAATAACTAGCAAAGGGTAGAATATTGTTATAGGCATTTGGGACAAAGCAGTGCAGTCTATGGCTTGGTAATAATGGGTTTTAGAAGTAAAATCAATGCCATGGAGAAAAGCTATCTGTCCTCACTCCCCTAGATTTCCTAGGCTTTTGACCACTTAGTTTCATAATTATACATTGTGCTAATAATGGCTATGAGACATCACAAGTTCATTGAACTGGGGCCTACACACCTCTCCACATATCATTAAGGCTCTCCTAGGACATATTGAATATGATCAATTGAGAAATTCTTTGCTTAGAAACTGAAGCTGGTCTTTGTGTGACTTAGGACTCAACATTTCACTCTTTTGTTATCTTCTTCCATTCCTGATGGAGAAGCACATCCTGTCCCTCCTGCCCACCCACAATGAGGCCACTATGGCACAGCACTAGAGGTAGCCACAAAAAAACTATGACTTCCTTGCTCCCATCCTCCCTTTTGTAGACCAATCCCTTTCCTTCCCTCAGTTTATCTCTATCCAAACTGGAGCACTTCTCATGAATCACATATTTTCAATTTGGTGAAAAAGGCCATATAGGATATTTTCAATTTTAATTATTATTCTGATAATGCAAAAACTTCCAAAGTAATCTATAAGAGCACTTATCTGTAATTTCTGGCTCAATTGAATTAAACACCTTGTTGTTGATTACCCTGCACAAACTACAAAGGAAAAAAAATAACAATCTGCCTGTTTACACTTTTGAAAGAGTTGAGTTTCAGGTTGTAATCACAAACTCTGTAGAACTGCTCTAGGGACCTAAATCTATTAAGGAATACTTTTAGCTGGAACTAAAATATCTCACCACTAGCATCTCAGCAATTCATCTTGCTTAAGACTTAAGAGTCAAATATACTTTCTCTCATATAAAGCTCAACTCCAATGATCTATTCTATCTTCTGTCACAACCAATGCCTGATGTGAGTTATAAAGAAAGATTAATAATTAACTAAGCGGTTTATTAAAGTCACTACAAAGCAATTGGATAACTTATTGGAAATTAGTCAGTACACATTAAGGAGTGAGTTCCTACTAACTAGGTGCCCAGTTCTGTTCTATAGAGAGTTGGAAAAAATGTGTCGCTGCTCCTGGCCACAGTAATATTTTTAGGTAGTTGTGGGAGACAAAATATACACAAAGAAATAGTTAAGTGACAGTACTCAAGATAAATAACAAATTTCAGAGGTGTTACAAGGCAGTGAATGACTGATTGTCAGATTAATAAAACAGACATTAAAGTAATATGGGAGTTAAAGGCAGAAAGACATAAATATGGGCTGGAGTACTCTGGGAAGAGTTTATAAAAGAAAAATTTGTGACTGAACTTGAAAGATGAATAGGATTTTATTGGTGACAGGGGATTAGTTAGGAACAGGCGGAAGTCCTGAGCAGAGGAATTGACATAAGCAACATCTGAGTAATAGAAAAACAGAAACTTTTTGAAATAGAGTGAAAGGGGACTCTATTTTACCAGAAGAGTTCATGAAAGTGAGTTTAAGAAATGTGTATGAAGAAGTAAGTTGAGCTTTATCATGAAAGATTATCAATGTCAGGATAAAGAGTAGGGAAGAACTGCAACATGAACAAAGTTCGGTTTAGGGATGGATTAGAGAGGGGAGATAGTTTATCAAAGGAATACTTTACAAATGTAAGCTGGATTTAGACAAGGGATAAACTGGAGACCAAAAGATCATAGAGGAGACTATAAATTAATGCAAGAAAGACGAAGTTAAGCCTCAGGATGAGGACAGAAAGGGAAGACAAATAGTAGATATCAAGTTGGAGTGAGAACTGAAACATATGAGAGGTAAATGAGAGAAATAAGTCACAGGCAAATGAAAGGTTTGAGCTTCGGAGACTTAAAGAATAAAAGAAGGGAATAGAAATAGAGCTGCATGGAAAACTAGATTAAAAGTTTAGCTCTTTCTAACAATTAATTGTCACAAAACCATTAACTATGGGAACAGGAATGAACCTTAGAAATAGACTATAGATTTTAAGACTGTAAAGCATCTTTAGATCAAGTTATGTAGCCTTTACTTGAATTACCCCAAAGACGGGGGACTAAGACTCTTGCAAAAGACTCCTTTCAATGTTCCTAAAGTTCTAAATTTTAGAAAAAATTTTTCTTCACCTTTGGCCTAGTACAGTGGTTGGCAAACTCATTAGTCAACAGAGCCAAATATCAACAGTACAATTAGCAATAGTTCAATGATTGAAATTTTTGAGAACCAAATTTTTTAAATTTAAACTATATAGGTAGGTACATTGTTATTAAATTAATTAGGGTACTCCTAACCTGGCCTTTGCTAAAAACTCAAGGGGCCCAAGAGAGCTGTATGTGGCTCGTAAGTTTGCCAACCACTGGCCTAGTAGAATAACTTTCTAACATTCAGTGTGAACTGAAAGAATGGTATCAGCTGCCATTTGAAGTAGAAAGCTCCATGTAATTGGAAGCATTTATTTATTTATGTATTTATTTTTTATAAATTTTCAAATTGTTGAGAGAGAGAGAGAGAGAGAGAGAGAGAGAGAGAGAGAGAGAGAGAGATGAGAAATATTGATCAGTAGCCTCCTACATGTGCCCCAAAGAGGATGGAACCTGCAACCTAGGTATGTGCCTTGACTGGGAATACAACCTGCCATATTTGGTGTACAGGATGACATTCCAAGCAACTGAGCCACCACTGGCAGAGTTAATTGGCAGTATTTAAAGCAAACTAAACAACTTTTTAAAATATCGTATAGAAAATTAATTTTTATATTGACATCACCAAGATGGCAGACTAAGAAATATCAAAGCTTAGCCTCTTCCCTACAAAAACAACAAATAAACAATTATGTGCCAACTAGAATGCTTCTGAGAGTTTCAGAATACTATAAAAAAAAAAGTTGCAGAAACTCTATGGAGCATAGAGACAGACTCGCCACATAGAAAATCATAGTAAGCCATTTACCTACATAGTCCCATCCTTTAATTTGGCAGAGCTTGAAGCCAATAGTAATTCCCTTGGCCTGTTCTCTTCTCACAAGGGAAAGGGAGAGCAGAATTCCAGCAACTCTTGAGAGTTTAAGTAAAAAACAAAATCTAGGAATATGGTGTCTATAAGAGACTCACTTTAAAATTAAACAGCATAGGCTGAAAGTAAAGGATTAAAGATATATTTCATGTAAATGGTAACCAAATAAGTATAGATGGCTATACTTATATCAGACAAAATAGACAATAACTCTAAAACTGTCTTTAGAGACAGAGGAGGACATTATCCTATATAATAAAAGGCTAATATGCAAATTGACCAAATAGTGGAACAGCCCTTCACTATGATGCACACTGATCACCAGGGAGAAGATACTCAACACAGGAGCTTTCCCTCTGGTGGTCAGTGTGCTCCCACAGGGGGAGCTCTGCTCAGTCAAAAGCTAGGTTCATGGCTGGTGAGCACAATGGCAGTGGCCGGAAGCCTCTCCTGCTTCCATGGCAGCGCTAAGGATACCCAACTGATGGCTTAGGCAGGTTCCCCGCATCAGTCAGACACCCCCCAAGAGCTCCTGGACTCCAAGAGGGCTCAGGCTTAAGCCATAAACTGGATACCAAAAGATCATAGAGGAGACTATAAATTAATGGCCAATTGAATTAAACAACCCCCACCAAGTGCACGAATTTCATGCACCAGGCCTTTAGTTTATATATATATAAAGAGCCAGGGTCTATAATGACCAAGGCTCCACTGAATACAGGAAGTCAGTGCTGGGTTGCTGTGGTGACCCAACACTAACTGCCTAGGGAGCTGCAGACCAGGCCCAGAGAGAAGCCTGCAGAGAAAGAGAGGCATGGTCTGATTCGCAGCCTGTGGCTGCTGTTGATCAGCCATTGCCTCTCTCTTTCTCTCACAGCTTCATCAGCAGCCATACCTCTGTTTTTCTCAGGGCCTCCTCCGGGACTACTGATAAGCCCCATCTCATTGATCAAGCCCAGAGATAGGCCCGGAGAAGCTGAACGGGATAGAAACTAACCAATCAGAACCAAATCTGGGTGAAGTGCCAAAAGCCAATGGCTGCCTAGGAGGTGGAGCTTTTGACACTGACTAGCATAGAAACCAACCAATCAAAACCTAACCTGGGTGAACTGCGAAGGCAGAACCTAAGGTGAGGGCTGCAGAGGGGTTTTAAGTACAACAGCTGTTTGGTGTAAGGTATAAGAAAGCAGTTCAATTTTTAATGATTGGTTTGGCAATATAATACATATGGCTGCTATCAGTCCAGTTATAGGGATTATATGTTTTTATCTGCCAAGAGCATCTCCTCCAGAAAGGCTCCCCCTTCCCCATTTAAGCAATCCTATCCTATATAATCTATCTATAGTAATAAAAGGGTAATATGCTAATCAGACCAGGTTGACCAGCCATCTTCCGGACATCTGACTTCCTTACAAATAAAGCCATGATGCTGGAGGCTGAGGCAGAGGCAGTTAGGGATGATAAGGCTGGCAGAGGAGAGAAGTTGGGGGCGAGATCAGGCCAACAGGGCGTTAAGGGCAATCAGGCTGCCAGGAGAGGGCAATTGGGGGTGAGATCAGGCTTGTAGTGCAGTTGGGGGCAACCAGGCTGGCAGGGGAGGGCCATTAAGGAGAGATC